TTGGAATGGAAAAACTTGTTCTGTGTGAACGGCCCCTTAGCCAGACTTCAGTCACCGAGCATCGCAACCGAAACAGCAGCCACCTTCTACAGTTCCTCCTGAACCAAAACAACGAGCTTATGCTGCATTCACACCATTACTGTAATTTGGAAGAGATGGAAACTTGTGACGTTATACTCGGAGCGGTTTGACTTGACTTTTTGAGTTTCAATGAACCTGCAGCAGTCCGGTGGTACAGGTCAGTGCTCTTTAAGTTGTTTATATTAATTTTATTGTAATGTTATGTGCTTTGAGACATGAGGTAGTTTAACGCCATCTAGCTAGCTATTGCTAGCCTCTCTGAAAATTGCCTACCTTTAACACAAAGGCTAATAATACAACCTTTATGTTATGTTACACTAATTGTAAATTGTTGTTTGATGCTATTTACACTTTGTTAACAGCGTATCTAGTACATTAGAATGCAGTATGCAATAATAATAATAATGTCATATTCAGTGTATATGATTATATTTATTAAAATCATAAATGGATGCTGCATTATTGGGACATTACTTGTCCCTATCCCTAAAAAGCCCCCCCCCCCCTACACCTGCCTGTTAAACACTGTATTCCCACTATTAAATACCCATTAGGTACTGTGGGCCAGATTCCAAAATAGCGCAGATGGGAGTGGAAAGTTCGGAGCGTGATCTACTGACAACGTGCAAATTAAACACAGACGCAGCCAGATCATTTACAAAATGATCAACGCAATGTACCAAGAGCAGCACAAAGTAGCGTCTGCTTAAGACATGCTTTTTATTGGGAGGTGGCGCAAATACCAGTAAATTTGACAAGCGCAAATCTTAGTAAATAACCTTGCGCGATTCATTTACATCTGAAATGAAAACTCATACAAATGCATGCAATAAGGTCAGCTGCAAAAACAACTGTGTCCACGCATTTTCAGCGCTAATTTTTTACTGTGTCTTTAGTAAAAATCCTGAGAGTAGTTTTAATACCAAAAGAGGGATTGCACTGGCGCAAGCTGTTAGTTAATCTGGTCCTGAATTTCCACTTTTCTAATATTTTTTCTTAATTTTTATTTAAAATAAACGCCTCTTGGAGCTCATGAACATGCATGTTAGCCAGTATGATTTTCAAAGCGATTCTGACAATGAAGTGCAGGTATTAAAGCAAAGACTTTAGTCAGTGGAGCCAAAGGGCTATACACTTCACGAGAAAAGGACAGGGGGATTGTTTGTCTTTAACACTTAGAGACTGCAGTATGTGGATCATTGTCATTCAGACTGAATATATGAATATTATATATTTTTCAAGGTTCAGAGTTAAATTTATACTGTCTGTATATTTTATTTGGCCTCGAGACAAATAGGTCAAGTGTATTTTACTCGCCAAGAGCCACGATTCATTTGTTTAGTTAAAGCTGCAGTCCGTAACTTTTTTGGGTTAAAAATGATCCAAAATAAAATTGAGCAAGTACATAACCAGCCAGTGTTCAAAACTATCTGCTTGCCTTAGCTCGATTCAAAATGGTAAGCTTGTAATAATGTTTTTAATTCCAGTGGTACTGGTGGATTTCCACGGGAGATTCGAGCATGTCTTTGCGTCATTACGTCACATCTGTATACACAAAGAAGGAGTCTCGGCTAGTAGGCTATATTGCGTGTGAGGATGTTGGAGGTGGAGATTTATAGCCTTTTCTCACAACACTTGATATAATTAAACTTATCAATATGATGGCGGATCCAGAAAGGTTCAAACGACAATCACCAGTGACAACAGGAGATTCACCCGCTGTAAAATGCAAAAGACTTCGGAGTGGCTACAGAAAAAGAGACTGCAACCGGGCCAATGCGAAAACAAGGATAAATATTGGAAGGGCTTTTGAAAGGTAAAAATTTGATTATATTCCAGTTTTAAATATGCATCTGATTACAGATACGTGTGTTTGTATTTCAAAGAGAACCAGTTCTAAGGAACATTTATTTGTTGGTATGACAATTAGAAATTAGCCTGCACAGAAATGGAAACTGAACTACAGTAGCTTAAGGTTGAGCCACTTGGACTATTTTAACGATGTTTTTACTAACTTTCTGGGCCGACAGGTTTCAATTACAATAGAAGCCTATGGAGGAGTGAGCCAGCTCTCAGATTTAATCAAAAATATTTTAATTTGTGTTCTGAAGATGAACGAAAGTCTTACGGGGTTGGAAGTTGGAACAACATGAGGGTGAGTCATTACTGCCAGAATTTTCATTTTGGGGTGAACTATCCCTTTAATGGCCTAAAAGCAAGTAACAAGTAGCAAGTTATTGGCCTGATACCGACATATTGTAAATTTGAGACCGTCATGCTCAGGAATGACATTTACAAATTTTTTAAAACAATGAGCTCATCGAACATCCTGTGACCTTCAAATACTTCCTTTTCCTGGTGCTGACTGTAGAAATAGTCATTTTCATAATGTCAAATCCTCTGCAGTGACAGGAAATGTTGCTCAATATAAGGCAATTTGGAGATGACATAATTCCAACCCAAGACAAAAGCATCATCAAATGCAAATGGATAGAAGGCCAGGTGTTAAAGCAAATACACATACAACAGGTGGTGGAATAATCTAAAGTTTGAACCTGATGAATTTGGACTGGCTAGGAACTAAACTTTAGGACAATGTTTCGAGATCTAGCCTATATTATAAATATTTTAACTACACCATAGATGGAAAGAAATATATTTTAATCATTTTGAATAGTACTCTTATTATATTAGATCTGTGCCTCTGAAAACATTTCTACATATAACTGCTTCTCTAAAGCTCCAGGTCTCGGGAAACTTGCTCTTAATGAGGTGATGATAAGGGTCTCCTGTTCCACCTTCATGGTTTCCATGGTAAGAATCTCAACATATGCCTCGACAATTACCGAGCAAGCAATGCATTTTCTGAAGGTGCTAATATTGGTCAGTCTGAGAATAATCAGGTGCCAACACATGTCCTCTGTCAATTGCTCTCCGAAGATATGTCATGTTAATGGCTCAGCAATAGATTCATATAAATTAATTTGAATTGAAATTATTAATATAGCACTGATATTAGAATAATTTTTCATATCTAAAAAAAATGTCTTTAAAGCATGAGTGAACAACAATAACATTTTGCATGTTGACTGATCAAAAGGAGGAGGACAAGATTTTTGTGCACTAAAATTCCAGTAATCAGAGCTGGGGTTTGAATTGCATGATGAGTCAGAGCTAGGCTATCTATCGAAAGAAAAATATGACTTGTGTTCTGTGAGAACAAGCACAGGTTTGTTGCTTTGAGTGGGCAGAATTTTTCAGATGTTCAGAGAGGCCCAACAGGCTCATGAAGTCAAATACTGCAAACAGGTGAAATGATGTAACTGCTTTGAGCAAATAAACATGCTGTTTGAGTGACTAGAAACAAACATGTACTGCATTTATAGGGCACATTACAAACTTTCCACAAAAGTGCAAAAACCAAGCCCAGACCCTGCTTATTTACATATGTCACTTTAGCACTGTATGGTTATCAGGGTTATGATGGTATGATACAATTTTCGGGCATGAGTTTATTATTTTTTATTTTTGTTGTCTAATAATAAATATAAATAATTATTAATAGCTGTTTTGGGGTTACATAATTATTGTAAATGAAATACCTGATAATAAATTTTACATTAGAAAACAGGTGTAATGAATTATTTTTTAAATTAATTTCTTTTTATTGTAACTAATAGTGCTGTCAAATTGATTAATTGCATCTAACATAAAAGTTTGTAAATACATAACGTGGCATTAATGACAGCACTAGTAACTAAACATATAATTTATCATTTTGCATGGCAAAAAATATTGACAGGGCAAGTAAAAATCTGATTTTTGTTTAAAATCCTTGATTTTTTTTTAATTATTGAAAGTAGCCTAATTTTAAATATTTAGCATCTGGTCATTATCAGTTAATTGATATCATCTTCAATCGATATCGAACTTTACTGGAATACTAAATTATTATTAAACCAATTAAAATATCTTTCCTAAATAAATTATAAAAACTTGGAACCATCCAGAGGTGTTGGTTGACAAGCATGTTCATAGCGGAGTCAGGTCCTTCATACATGGGGAATAATGATGCTTTGAGAAAAAATGGCTGCCAATGAAAGGACGTAGAAGTAGCCTACAATTAATTTAGCAAAGACTGTGTAAATAAACAGGAAAAAGAAAGGTTGAGACAAAATGAGACAGAGGTGACGCCAGAAACGGCCTGAACAGATTGAGGTGTGAACATTTCAGAAATCCTTTACAAGTCCTGAATTCTCAAACTGGTTAGAATTGAGCACGAATATAATTCATTGATTGATTAGAATGCAAATTTTAGGAGCCATTTCTAAGAGGTTAGGATTACATGCAGCCTCTTCATAAAGAGTTCATGGGATGTGGATGTTGTATAAGCCATTGCACGGGCCTTTAAAAAGAGTAATGGAGGGCTTATTGGCCACCTGTTACCTAATCATGCTTAGGACTGCAAGAGGAGGTTAATTATAGTTGATCCTTGGGAAATGGCATTTATTTATTTCAATTTCCAAAGTCATCCATTAGCTGATAAGTTCAATTTCAGCAGTATTACCAGTAACCCTTATAAAGGCCTTTAGATTGAGCTACACTGATGCACTGCAACGCAATATTTAGACACCAGTATGTTGCTGGTTTGTATTAAACCACCAAATGCTTGCCTCAATTTGTTTCTCAAGCAAGTTATTTAATCATTTTGTCTTATTAAAGAAACCCAGTGATCCACAATTGCTACAATATGGCGATTACAGCATAAAGTGTTCATAAACAAGAGGATCTGCATGTGATTACTCAAGTCTACTGAAACAATGCGTTGACACAAAGCGCAACCTATTCAAAGGCTTCCCGACAATGTACGATGTTTGGCGAAATATTCCGAGTGTGTTCCGATCCACTCGATCACTTACTTTCAGTGATCTTCTGCAATCCCAGCACATCCTCCGGGCTGATCGTTTTGTTCCCGAGCAATTCCTCTTCTCTGGTTACGGGGACTCCGACGTCTGTCGTGTTGCAGCCCTTCTTGACTTTCATGGCCTCGGTTAAATCAGGGTTGGAGTTCGCTTGTCTGCCGCGGATGCTGTGGCGGTTGTTGCTGTTGGTGTCTCCGCTGCTGCTGCTGCAACTACCGGGATTAACGCCGCCGGACTTCTTAGAGCTCGATGGGTCCTGGCTGTTGCCTGTGCTGGTACAAGAATAGCTCATTATCCGTTCCTCCTCCTCCACCCCCTGCTCCCCCGGTCTAGCAAAGACACAAAACAGTCACCCTCCCACACCCGAAGGGCTGAGCAGGTCGCCCGCTTAGAGGTATTTAAATCCTCCCGTTCTCCGCTCTCACCCCGAATCTCTCTCGCGCTCAGGCTGAGCTGTACCACTACACGCGGGAGGGGGTCGCCTGCCGTTCAGTGGCGCACCAGTAACAGATAGTAGTAATTTGACTTATATAAATGACTGTTTTGAGTGCATCAAATTGTATTCCTGAGGACATTATGTTGGATAAAAATCAGTCCTCGAGCCTGTACTGATTTTGTTCATTCTAGCACCGGATAGCTGTTTTGTATCTCCCTGTTTGTTGTGTGGTACGGCCCAAATTGATTCGTGAATTGTGATAAACAAATTCTCAGATAAACAAATCAAATCGAATCAAATAAATAAAACCCCAGAAAATGTGAGAGATTGTAAAGCCAATATTATTCATTATCTTATTTTTAAAGAAAAAGGAAACTTTAACGCGATTAGTAAATATGAGCTTTTTTGTTTATTTTTAATCTAAATTTCCCGGACCTCCCATAAGCATCAAGGGACCCCCCATAAGGCCCTAAAAACCTTGGGGTTTTTTATCATTGTGCTGCCGCTCCCGAAGCTACCCCAAATTAGATTTGCGTCTGAAAATACGCTCAAGTTGTAAATTGCTTCAGAAAACAGCGTGTGGCGCACTTGAGCGTATTTTCAGACGCAAATCTGATATAATTAAACTTATAGGTAACACGCTGGTAACCCAAGGTAACACGCTGTTTTCTGAAGCAATTTACAGACAGCGACGTCGCTGTGTGACTGGCCAACACGATCTCATGAAAGTGCGTACATTAACGAATGCAACGTAACGTATTACACGCCACAAAGTGCGTATCATATGCACGCGAAAACTGAGTACCTATATGCACGGTATGGCGGCAAATCAATGCCGCCATACCACGCAATACCATTGCGCGCGCGCATGATCATTCCCCACGCTCTCGCGCTTGATCTGCTCTCTCGCCTGCTGCTTTTGCTCGCTCGAACAGTTTTATTTTTGGCAGTCAAGGAGCGGGACTTAGGCTACTGTTTTAATAAATCGAATGTCATTGGCTATACACTTCCCCTTTTCAAGTCAGTTGTGATTGGACGCCTGTCCAATGACCCGTAATTCACTTGACTTGAGACATGAGACATCACTTAATTTGTTTTATTTATTATGGTTTATTAATGTGTAATGTGATTTAATCCATTGTTAATATAGAATAGATTCTTCCCAGATACTTTATTAACAGGAAGTCTTACTAGTGATTGCATTGTGTTGTTAAGAGATATTTACAGACTGTAATGACGCATTTCCATGGTTATTAGCGTTGCAAATGTACCCACATTTTTATACATTTTTACGTAATATAAGTGGTTCATTATGTTTTCTATTAAATATAAATGGGGTTCTGGCTTCTCAAGTTAAGATACAGTACACAGCATGAATTATAGCTTAGGTGCCTTTTCAGAATTTGCTACAGAATACAGAGGAACAAAATTAAACCCAGCTTAAACCCAGCTCAGCTGCAAAAACATGTTCTGAAACAAAAAAAAGTAAAGTAAATGAAATTATATTATATTATTACATGAAATAAATAAATGAAAAATGTATATTATTAGGTGGTTTTTTGTGGGGGGACCCCCCAAGAGCTTTGACACAATTCGAACACGGGTGAACTGCTCTTAAAATAACCAACATTTTAATAATCTGAATAATATTTTACGCCTATAAAGAACTTTTTGTGCAATGGAATGACTCTGGATGTTAAAGGCTCTTCGTGGAACCATAGATAATTAACTTTATTTTTAAAAGTGAACTTTATTGAAGTTAATGATCACAGTCCACAAGAGGCCGCCACAAGACAGTACAACAAAACTGGCCTGTGAGTCACAATTGTAAAACTAGCACTTGATAATCAAAAAAAAATTTATACCAGTGAACGAGACACTGACTTCTGATCAAACATGAAGAAAAATAAATTAAGCAATTTAGCAAATAAACTACAAGTGCTTGTAATTTCATGTTTTTGGCTGGCTTGAAAAGGTTTCACCAATTTATTAGCCTAATGTCCTCCATATTAAATGTGAGCCTGCCATCTTTGAATAGCCTTGCATTTAAATAACTCCCTTTTTAAGCAATATGTTGTGATTATTGGTATAGCCTGTTATATTACAGCTATCATTGTTGTGCTATATACAAAACTAAGACAGAAACAAAACGTTATAACTTAAAAAACAGAAAGAAAAACAAATACATTTTAGCATGTTTGTTACAATAATGTTGATGCAGAGGAGAGTTAATTAATAATATGACCGAGAGAGTAGAAGTGAACACACTCATTTCATTTCCCAGGCCTGCTGAGCTGGCTCGTCTCTTTGTCATCGTGGTGTGGCTGCCCTCATCAGCAGAAATACACACACACACACACACACACACACACACACACACACACACACACACACACACACACGGTCATGCATGACAGTTTTACACACAACCAGAACTACATCTGACACACACAGGCTTAACAGATACACACGTCATACACATTCGACACACACACACACACACACACACACACACACACACACAAACATTTTTACACACAACCAGAACTACATCTGACACACACACACACACACAGGCTTAACAGATACACACGTCATATTTGACACACACACACACACGCACACCTCCACTCTGGACATTTTGTGGGCTAAACAATGTGCTGACTATGGTCTGTGTGCAGCCATTGTTTTGCAAAGAGACCTGAGTTGAGGTTGTGAGTTTAGCAAATGCACTTTCTCTACTTCAAAATTAGTTTAATTTAGGCTATGTTACTTGAAGTTTCATGAATTATTTGTGAATAGCAGCCTACTAGACATTTCTAAATGAAAATGGTTTCAAAGTAAATTCTACATAATTTTTCAGTCATTTTTACAATGAATGCTGAAGCTGTTCAATTAATTTCAAATCTCATAGACTGAAATGTTTAAGTCTACATATTCATCTATCAATGTAAACGTAGTCCACTGGTTTATAGTTTTACTCCTCTTCCTCCTTTTCATATAAGTTGCAAAGCAACAATATATGACATTTAAATATAAAAACTGCAATGGTTCCATAAAGAACCTTTAACATCCACAGAATCTTTCCATTGTACAAAAGTTGTTGTTTTTTTAAAGTGGAAAAAGGCTCTTTGGATTATTAAAATGTTCTTCACACTAAAAGAAAAATTGGTTTAAGAACTGACCACTCAAAGGTTCTTTGGGCAACCAAAATATTTCTTCTATGGCATTATTAGGAAAAAAACTTTTGGAACCTTCATTTTTAAGAGCGTAATGGTGCATTTGTCTAGATTTAAAGTCAAGCAGTATTCATCGCTTTTGGAAAACACACTGATTCATATTAGCATTTTAAATGCCTTGTTTTGCCATTTATAGGACAGAAACTCATCCGTGTTATTTATTGCATTACTCAGACATCGCCTCCCTAATTTGCCTCATAATAATTTGTCCAAGTCCCAAAAAAACATGTGGGCCTTTTGTAAACTATGGCGCTCAGATAAACTGGAGACTAAACACTGTAAATATATAAATAATCATTATTGTTTTGAGATCATTTCTTCTCAGACATCACCAAATTCAAACCTTTTATGTTGTACAAACCCCAAGTAAAACTACATTTCTATGAATTCTTATGCTGTTTTGAATATAATATTTTCCTTATAGAGTCCGTGCAATCCTAAATACACTGTAAAAAGCGAACAGTTGGATCAACTTAAAAAAAAAATACTTCAATTGGTAACACTGTTAAAACACACAGTATATAATGTTCCTCATTCCAAAAATGTAACTTTGAGAAATCATTTGCAAAAGTTTCTAATGTAATTTAATTTACTGCAACTTATAGACCTATTGTCCTTCATGCAAATTTGCAGGGCCTGAAAAGAAAATCTCAAGTTATAATATAACCATATCATATAACCTTATAGGCAATTCACATAAAATGAGATATTAGCATGCATTGCTTCCTCAAGCAGTGTAAAAGTGAAGTGATCCTCAGGTAGCGTAACATAGGCCATACGGCTGCCACACGTCTCCATGGCCCCTCATTGGTGGAGATCCCTTCATTGTGAAGAGTGTGCGGAGGAAAGAAAGGACTACAGCTCAGGACAGAAACAAAAGGCATCCAAAGCAAAGTGCTGACCGCAGCCGGGGTCTGTGAATGAGGGAGCCCCATTGAAGCGGCGTCTGTATAAATAGCCCCACAGATGCCTGAGCAGGAGACCGCGTGCTGGATTCCCCTCAACGCACACAGCTCATTCTGTTGGGTAAGTCTGGTAAACCCTGTACCTCTGCCAACTCTAAACCAGATAGTGATTAAACCAGCTTGGAACACCATAGTGAGGATTAATTATGCAGAATGACTTATCAAACAATGATCCACTGATACAATCAGACATGCTAAATTATAATTATGATAGGGGAGATATTTATGAGATGTCAACCGGGGATTTGAACAAGAGGTTTTAATTAGCAGACCTGACGTCCATAAGACAGTAATATAAGCCACTCGGTTTAATTGATCCAACAGTGTTCAGGCTTGTCATACATGGAATACTTTACATGCCATTATCTATAACAAGCACTTGTCCTTTTTTTCTCACTGTAAAAACAAGTTAGCCGTGTGTCCACCAAAGCGTTTTTATAAAGCTGAAATGTAACTTAGGCCTACTTGTTCTGACTGGCATTTGTTTTGGATGAACAGATGTGCTTGTTGTTATCAATGTGTGGGTTGGACGGCTGGTTGAAAAGCATGTTTTAACCAAAGTTGAACATTTTTCAATTCTCGGCATCCGGGGGGGGAATGCCAAGGGCTCAGCTCCTCGTCACGACGCTCCCATTGAAAACAATTGAAAAAATGCTCTGGCCATTTGGGAAAAAAACACTTATTTTAGCATGTCTTTTTGTGGGTACATGTTCAACAGTGTTGTATACTTCTGACACGACTGTCTGATTCCTTGCATCCAGGTCAGTCAGCGCTGATATATCTGAAACAATGGCTCTGACAAACCCTATGTC